GTGTGTGTGTGTGTTTGCTTTGCAGGTTTTTTAATGAAATTTTAAAAGTAAAAATTAAAAAATAAAATTTTTGTCCGGGCATGGGGATATATACATATCTGTAATCTCAGAACTTGGGAGACAGAGGCAAAAGGATTGCCACAGGTCAGAGGTTATTATGGTCTACACAGTGAATTCCAGACCAGTCAGACTTAGATAAGACCCTATCTCAAAAGCAAAACAAAAAAAATGAGATTCAACAAAATAGAAGTTTTTTTAAACTACACCCTTGTCTTCTGGGGGGAGGAAGAACCAGTTTTCTTTAAGACTGTGGCCCCGGTAGGTCCACTGTGTTCCACTGGATGACCCCACACCCATGAGTACATGAGCAACACAAATTCCACCTGGTGGGCTATAAAAAATTTTTGAGGACAGAAAGTTGGGTGGGGTGGGTATAGATCTAGGAAGAGTTAGGGGTAGGAATAGGTGAATAAAATCAAAATACATTGTATGTATATACAAAATTCTCAAAGATTAATAAAAATATGTGTATTTTTTAGCATAATGTTTTATTGATTCTTTGGGAATTTCACATCATGAACCCAAATCCCACTCATTTCCCAGTCTCTCCATATCCACCCTTCACTCTCGCAGCATCCCTCTCAAAATAAAATAAAAATATTAATTAAAAAAAGCACTTTGCTCCTCTATTGTAGAATATTATTTTAAGATCTATTACATTTGTTTATGCTGTGGAATATTTGTTGAATGATGCAAAGATGTGTTGCATTCTTTTATGTTGCATTTGTTTAACTCTTGTGAAGCTGTGTTACTTTGTCTGTCTAAAACACCTGACAATGTAATAAAGAGCTGAACAGCCAATAGCAAAGCAGGAGAAAGGATAGGCGGGGCTGGTAGGCAGAGAGAATACATAGAAGGAGAAATCTGGGAGAAAAAGAAGAAAGAGCAAGAGAACAAGAAGAGGAGAACGATAGGGGCCAGCCACACAGTCACACAGTTACACAGTCACACAGCCACACAGCCACACAGCCACACAGCCACACAGCCACACAGCCATCCACAGAGTAAGAGTGAAAAAGTAAGATCTACAGAAGTAAGAAAAGGTAAAAGCCCAGAGGCAAAAGATAAATGGGATAATTTAAGTTAAGAAAAGCTGTCTAGAAACAAGCCAAACTAAGGCCGGATATTTATAATTAAGAATAAGCCTCCATGTGTGATTTATTTGGGAGCTGGATGGCAGGCCCCCCAAAAGAGCCAAAAGAGCTAAGAGCAAAAAAGTAAAGAAAACAACCAACAACACTCCTCTGTCTTTCCCACGTCTCCATCACTCTTCATTCATCTTAGTGGCATTGGGAGCTGTGGTGTGTCACACAGTATACCTTTCTGTCCAAATAGCTTTACTTTCAAATGTTCATTGTAATGAGTTGTTGGTCTGGTTCAAGGCCTTTGGCTTTTGGTATACCATCAATACTGGACTCTCACCAAAACTCCTCTTGGATATCCTGCTGTTGTCTTGAGTCATGGAGATCCTGCAGCTATGGTTCCACAGGACCAGTTTCTTCATGAGCAGATCATAGGTGGGGTAGATGTTGGGGTGGACTCAAAGCCATGAATTTGTGCCTGGGAGGTAGCTGAATTGGTCAATTTGGGCCTTTGCTGGGACTGCCCCACTTCAGGTGAGGGGCAGAGCTAGCTTTCCTGAGCCCACAAGTCAGCTCTCCCATTCCTGTGGTAAGGGATGGGGCCATCTCTCCCTTGTGGGGGCGGGGCCAGCTCTCCCTTGTGGGCGGGGCCAGCTCTCCCATTGCAGCTGCAATCCAGGGGCAGGGCCAGATATCCCAGGGCCAGTGAGAGCAGGAGGGGAACTCTGTCCTACTTCTCACTGAGGGGAAGGGCAAAGAATGAACAGTTGTGTTGAGGAACTGCCAGATGTACTTTCCGTGGGCTTCTGAAAAGACTCATCAAGGATGTGCTCTGGCCAAAACCAAGGAAAAGGGAGATGATGGGACCAGGAAACAGCAGGTCCCCCTGGGAGAGCAGCCTTGTGGAGTGCCAAGCAGGCTTCTGTGCTATGGCCCCAAAGAGCACCCACTCCCCTATGGCCTCTGCATCAGTTCCTGCCCTGACTTCTCTGTATGGTAGACTACAAGCTGTAAACTGAAATAAACCCTTTCCTTCCCAGGTTGCTTTTGATCACGGCGTTTTATCCCAGCAATAGAAACCCTAACTACAACCCCAGCACTCCTTGCCTCTTTCCAGCATAGGGCCAACTCTGGTACCCACAGGGAAGCCAGCTCAGGGTGGCCCTCAACATGGGGGAACTCTCATGGTTGTTGACATCTTGACACCTTGACATCTGCCTATGATGGGTTGAAAGTGCCACAAGCCACTCCCGGGTCAGAAACAGATCTTCTGGCACATTTGGGATGGGACAAGAATTATCAAAACTTGTCAAGAGGACATGACAACATGTCCTTTTCAAACAAAATTTTGACTACTTTGGGTCAACACTTTTGATTATGTCCCTGTAGATACTACAGACTCTGCAGGGACATGAACATGACCTCACGCCTGCTGGCACAGGCTGTAAGTGAGCTCAGTACTGTCCATACATGACGTCCTATCTATGCCAAGATTACTATGTAGTCACTACAAGGGTCAAGAAGGCAAGGCTGACAGTGGTGGAACTAACCCCAATGTTTGCTGTCAGTCCAAGGACAGGCTGAAGATGTATCTGTACGGGAAACTGCCATTTGTGCTAAGTTGTATGAAATTTTGTGTAAATGAGCTCATATGTACACAGAACCTTCAAGAATCAGATGCAAAAACCAAAAAACTAGGAATCTACACACAGAGGTAGAAGATGAACTAGCTTTCAGTGCCCATCCATTCCAGCCGCTTGGATGCTTTGGCATGTGTGTACAATAACAAGAAACATGTGCTGCTGAGGACACTGAGCATCGGAACCTGGAGTGCGGCTGGTGAGACTGTGTGAGCCAGCATGAAAACCAGCTTGGCGGTTCCTCGGAAAGTTGGGTGAGTGTCACCATCTGTCCCAGCAATGTCACTTCTGGGCATAGTCCCAGGAGAATTAAAACTGAGGACTAAAATAGATGTGCACACCAATATCCACAGCAGCGGGATTAACAAGAGGCAAAGGAAGCAGCCCAGGCACCCTGGACACGTGTCTACACCACGGACTGCGATCCAGAAGCCTTCCAACGGATGGAGATGCTGCCACCTGCTGCCACATGGATGAGACTAAAGCAGAGCCGCGGGCAACAGTACGGCTCCAGTTGTGTCTGTTACTTAGGACGGACTCAGAAAGTAGAAACCTTTCTTAAAACAGGAAAGCTGGCTCTTCCTCTGTGTGAGGTGTCTGAAGACTTGAAGAGCTTCCATTTCTAGTCGTGTGGTCACAACTAAACCAGCTTTGCCTCCTGCAAACACCAAGAAGCTGGGGTGTCCTCGGCACCCCTCTTTCCAGGCTTTGGCGGATGCCAGTGCACAGACAGCAACCTCTGGGAGATGGCCTGTTAGTCTACTCTCTATTGCTCATAACCCTTGAAAGGACAGTCTAAATATGTCACCAAGGAGATGGCTTTATTCGGGCTCATGGCTCTGGGAGGCTGAACGCCTTATCCAGTGTTACATAGTTCTTACAGTCAGAGTCCAGAGGACATGCAAGACTTCAAGTAGTGAGAGAAAGGGGATGTGTGAGACTCTGTCCTTGGGCCTCCCTCTTCTCGTAAAGACACCAGAATTCTATCACAGGGTTTACTATGATGGCTTGATCCCAGTTACCTCCCAAGGAACCCACCTCTAAAAACCACAGTCAGACCAAGTGTCCACCCTCCGAGTATCTCTCAATGGGGTTGAACTGCACTGGGAACTTGGGAGTGGCCAAGCCACATTCAAACCACAACCACAGGAACAAATGAGGTGGCCTTCCAGCTGCCCCAGCTCCCTGCTGCGATGCAGTAGAGATCCAGGCAGAACAGAGTGCAGAGAGTGGCACTGTCATCTGTGGAAGACGTCTTGCAAGCACAGAAAGGGAGAGAGCTACATAGAATGCTCCCTGATTCTGTGCACAGTTTGCTTGGGTTTCTTTCCAAAAGCTGACCTCTACATGCCCAGGTGAGATTACAGCAAACTGGCCAAGAGCTGCTGGGAAGCCATGTGTGAACCCCAGGGGTCACACAGGGAAGGTGGTTTCTAGGTAGGACAGCCCTGTGGGTCACCTAAGAGCCCGAGAAGCTACAGAAGAGCTGAGCCTTTGGAGTATGACTGAAGAGGACCAGAAGAAAAGGCCACTCTGGCCAACTGTTTACAGGTCAAAATCACAGACAGTCAAATGCTAGTCAGAGCCAAGTCCTGGCAACCATGAAGGAAAGTGACATCTAGCACATATCACTGTGGCCAGGATGACACTTGACACCAAAATAATATGATGCTGTGACGCTGTGCTTTGGATCAATAAATGTCCCCCAAAGAACCATGTGTTAAAGACTTTCGGAAGCCCGGGTGCTTTTGGGCAATGGTGGACACATTAGGTCCTAATGATTAGGAGGGGGAGCTAATTGAAGTAAGGTTACCAGGGCATGCCTTCTAGGGGAATATTGGGATCCTGCCTTCTTTCTTTTCTTACTCCCCGGCTGCCATGTGGTGACTGCAGCAGGGTACCCTGTACGGTGATTTGAAATAAAATGGCTCCCAAAGGGAGTTGTACTATTAGGAGGTATGCATGGCCTTGTTGGAGTAGCTGTGGCCTTGTTGGAGTAGCTATGGCCTTGTTGGAGTGGCTATGGCCTTGTTGGAGGAGGTGTGTCACTATGGAAGTGGTCTTTGAGGTCTACATATATGCTCAAGCTGCACCCAGTGAGCCAGACCACTTCCTGTTGCCTGCCTGTCAAGATGTAGGACTCTCAGCTCCAGCATCAAGTTAGCCTGCACACCACCATGTCACACCATGATGATAATGGACTGAACCTTTGAAAATGTAAGCCACACCAATTAAATGTTTTTTCTTTATAAGAATTGCCATGGTCATGGTGTCTCTTCACAGCAATAGAAACCCTAATTAAGACAAAAGTTGGTACCAGGGATTGGGGTACTGCTGTGATAGGCCTGCCCATGCTTTTGTTGGTAGGAATACGGACCTTGGGGCTGTGGATTAAAAGGCAGTGGAATGCTTTAAGCACTGCTTACTGGGTCATTCTAGTAGAAGCATGGAAGACAGTGGGGCTGAGTGTGATTTGAACCGTGGGGCTGGCTCAAGCTGTTTCTGAGGAGAAGAATTTTAATATGTTGCCTATAGATTGTTCTTGTGATATTTTGGTGAAGAATGTGGCTTTTTGCCCTTGTCTGGAAAGTCTGCCTGAGGCTAAAGTGAAGAGTTTTGGGTTAATTCCATTGGCAGAGGAAATCTCCAAACAGTCTAGTATTGACTCTGTTGTGTGGTTATTACTGGTCTCTCTTATACCAATTTATAATGAAAAGGAACAAGAAAATGTAAAATTTGAGGTAGAAAAGAAGCACCAGGAAGTAAAATGGAACTAAGTCCTGTGTTCAAGGAGATAAACAGATTAAGAAATGGATAAAGGGGGGGGGGCTGGAGAGATGGCTCAGTGGTTAAGAGCACTGACTGCTCTTCCAAAGGACCTGGGTTCAAGTCCCAGCACCCACAGGGCAGCTCACAACTGTCTGCAACTCTAAGATCTGACACCCTCACACAGTCTATATACATGCAGCAAAAAAACCAATACAAATAAAATAAAAAATAAATAAATTATATTTTAAAAAGAAAGAAAGAAATGGATAAAGGGAGTGGTGACCTCAGGGCAAGATCCCACAGAGCTAAATTTCTAACTTGTGAAAAGGAATTAAAGAAAAGCTTAGAGCCAGGTTTGGTGGTACACACCTTTAATCCCAGCACTCAGAAGGCAGAGGCTGTTGTATCTCTGAGTTGGAGGCCAGCCTTGTCTACATATCAAGTTTCAGGACAGCCAAGCTTAGGCAGTGAAGGACAGAAAGCTGGTGAAGATGTAGTTGAATAAGGGGGCCATGTTCCCGACCCAACGAGCAGTAGAACTTGGCAGTTTCGGTCATGTGGTTCTGGCTTTAAAATCAAGAACAGAAGAGGTTATGGAATATGTCTCTGCGTCTAAGGGAAGCCGCTGAGGCCAGGCATACATCAGGGGTGTCCATGAATGGAGGCCCAAAGAGGTCATTGTGTGAAGCTGTTGAGAAACCTGGGTTACCTTGGAGACTCCAAAATGTTGGAGATGCCAGAGTCGTGGGATACCTGCCAAGGAAAGCTGCTAACAGGTAGTGAAACCAGCCCAAGAGAAAGAAGTGTGTTTCATTCAACAAAGCTGAAAGGAGTGGAGATCTAAAGGACATTTTGACATCAGCCAGACAGGGAGATGCAAAGTTCGGAGTTTGCCCAGTTGATTTTCAGTCTTGCTTTGGTCCAGTATTTCCTCACTGTGCTCCCTTCCCTACATTTTGGAATGGTAATGTATATCCTGTGTATATATATGTTGGAAGTATGTGATCTGCTTTTTTATTTGATTTTATAGGGGATTACAGTTAAGAGATTGCATGAATCTCAGAAGAGACTGAACTTTACACTTTTAAATAAGTTTGAGGCTGTTATATGAAACTATGGGGACTTTTGAAGTTAGACTAAATGCATATTTGCATTATGATATGGCTACAAGCTTTTGGGGGCCAGAAAGTGGAATGTAGTGATTTGAAAGAAAATGGCCCCCAAAGGGAGTGGCACTATTAGGAGGTGTGGCCTTGTCGGAGTAGCTGTGGCCTTGTTGGAGGAAGTGTGTCACTGTGGAGGTGGGCTTTGAGCCAGACCACTTCCTGTTGCCTGCCATCAAGATGTAGGGCTCTCAGCTCTAGTACCATGTCTGCCTCTATGCCATGATGGCACACCATGATGATACTGGACTAAACCTCTGAAAACGTGAACTACCCCAATGAAATGTTTTTCCTTTATAAGAGTTGCCATGATCATGGTGTCTCTTCACAGCAACAGAAACCCTAATTGAGACACCCTGGCAGCAGGATGCACCAAGCTGCCATGGGCTGAGACTACAGAGCTATGTAAACACAGACTGAAAGCTATGAAATCAGGAGCCAAAATAAACCTCCCTTTGTAAGTTGATTACCACAGGGATTTGTTACAAGTACCATTTGAAAGTGAAACATCGATAAGAAAGATTCTTGGGAGATTCAAGATGGTGGCAGCTGCCAGTACCCATTGGGCTACAGAGCTGCTCTGAGAAGCCTACATGATCCGTGGAGGCTACGAGGGGAGATGAGGCAGTGGAAGATGAGCCTGCAGAGCACACAGTATCTCTGGAACAACTTTTAAAAGGCAGGTCTTATGGGAAGATGCTTTCAAAAAGTGGTTTCAGGGCTGGAGGGATAGCTCAGCCGTTAAAGGCTAGACTCACAACCAAAAAAGTGGTTTCATGGAACTGGAAAAGAAGATGGCAGAACAGCATGGCGAGAGGCAGAGAAAAGAGGGATTAGAGACAAGACAGTGGCCATAGGTGTGGGAGCTCAGCCCCAGCAACAAAGGAGAATGTTGGTGCCCAGTAGGGCCAGTCCTCGTCTGCCAGGAGGCTCGGGCCATGGGCAGGGTGGTGGACAGCAACCTGGAGCTCGCACAGGCCCTGCCCCCAGACACACTGCCCAACTGCATGGCTGCCCTGACTCTGAGCAGCAGCAAGGTATCCGAGACGAGGAATGGTTTGTTTCCTGGATTGAGCCTCCTTGAAAGACTTCCATGGTCCATGCTGCTGCTGGGGGCCATGTTGATGTCCGTGGTCCACGCTGCTGCTGCTGGGGGCCATGTTGATGTCCGTGGTCCACGCTGCTGCTGGGGGCCATGTTGATGTCCGTGGTCCACGCTGCTGCTGGGGGCCATGTTGATGTCCGTGGTCCACGCTGCTGCTGGGGGCCGTGTTGATGTCTGTGGTCGACGCTGCTGCTGCTGCTGGGGGCCATGTTGATGTCCGTGGTCCATGCTGCTGCCAGCTGCTATGGACAGGGAAGCTTTTGCAGTGGTATCAGTAACTAAAGACTCCTAACTGAGAATGGGAGACATTGAAGGCAACCTCTCTCCCCGACAAAAAAGAAAAAAAGAGACAGTACCAACAAGAAGCTATTGAAAAGAGTCCTTAAAAATTGTGACAAAGAGCCAGGCCGTGGTGGCACACGCCTTTACTCCCAGCACTTGGGAGGCAGAGACCAGCCTGGTCTGCAGAGCGAGATCCAGGACAGGCACCAAAACTACACAGAGAAACCCTGTCTCGAAAAACCAAAAATAAAAAATGTGCTAAAGATGCTGACGTGTCCCTCTTCACAACTGATGGCTTCTTGCAGGGTTGTGGGGGTGGGGGCAGCACACTCAGTTTCCTTTAAGGGACCGTCCACTGGGAGACTGATCGTGCTCCAGTGGGTATGTGGGCAACAGAAATTGGACTTGGTGGGCTCGTTTGTTTTGTGGGGGAGGGCACAAGGATGGGAGGGTGGATCCAGGAGGAATGGGAAACAAGTGTGATGGGGTGCATTGTATGAAATTGCCAAATAATTAATAAAAATATTATGTTGGGCAAAGAATAAAGAAAGTGAAACGTCCCCCACTAGCTCATGTTGTGAATGCTTGAATGCTTGGTCTCTGGTGAGAGGTGCTATTTGGCAAAGCTTGGAAACCTTGGGAGGTAGGTTCCGACTGGGGGAAATAGGGCAGGTTTGGGAGTGTGTTATTCCAGGTCCTTCTTCTTGTGCCCTGTGCTTCTGCTTGGTCAGGAAGTAAACAGCTCCCCTCCAAGGCCACAGTTCTCTGCCCCTGTGCATGGGGCCAAGCAGCCATGGCAGTGAAACCAATGCTTCTTCATCTGAATTTCTCCTCTCCTGTGTCTTGTCACAATGACAAAAACAACCCCTTCACACACCGTGACGGAAGCTGCCTGCCACAACAGTCCACAACCTGGGAAGAACTCTGTCCGTAGAAGCAGAAGGAATGCAGGGGTGATGACGTGCACAGGTATAATCAACACTGCTGAAAACATATGCTCAACATGATGAGAAAATACAGGAGACAGAAAAAGAACCCAGTGGAACTTTGTCTAGAGGGGAAAAGCACCTGTAATTAAAAAAAAAAAAAAAAAAACATTGGACAAGAGGAACAGGTATCACACGCTGACAGAGAAGAGATCAGTAGCTTGAGTGAGATGGAGCAACCACAGTACCAGGAGGGATAAGAGAGTACTTGTCAATCTTCTGGACTTGGTGAAAGCTGTAAATGCCTAGCTCACCTTGAAGAGAGAGCTGATTGGTTCAATCTAACACATTTCCAAGTAACCTGCTGTCCCTTCAACTGAGTGCAGCTCCCCTCCAATACCCTGCAACTGGGCCCTCAACTGAGTGCAGCTCCCCTCCAATACCCTGCAACTGGGCCTGGGTGGACCTCCCCTCCATGTCCCTGCTTCTTCCCTGCAGAAGTGTCTGTGCTTATGGAACATTTGGTGCCTCAGACCCCACCCCATCTGCTTCAGGAACCCACATAGGTGAGTCACAGGCACATCACCATCACAGGGCCGAGGAGGAGGGATAACAAAACAGCATCTTCAAGAGTGGTCCTGCAAAACTGACCCAGAAGACTAAGACACTCAAACTCCCACAGCTGGCATACTGTATTCCAGCAGACCCACAGAAGAAGCACTGTGTGGGAAGTGGGAGTCCCTCAGAGGAAGACGGCCAGACCCAAACTGGACCAGAGGAAAGGAGAAAGAATTCTAGAATGGGAAATGTGGTGGTACCTAGGAAAATGGTTTTCTTGTTTTAAATTTTTCTTTAAGAGAGAAGTCAACTGATAAAAGTAAAACTGGTAAGCTGGGCGTGGTTGTGCACGCCTTTAATCCCGGCACTCGGAGACAGAGGCAAGCAGATCTCTGTGAGTTCGAGGCCAGCCTGGTCTACAGAGAGAATTCCAGGGCAGTCAGGGCTGTTACACAAAGAAACCCTATCCCTAAAAACAAACAAACAAACAAAAAGTAAAACTGGAGACAGTGTTGTGGGATATGTGACATCCATGGGTGTGAGCTGTATGAACACAGAAAAGGACAGAAAGTCCCACTACTGCCGGGCATGGTGGCACACATCTTTAATCCCAGCACTCACAAGGCAGAGGCAGGTGGATCTCTGTGAGTTCGAGGCCAGCCTGGGCTACAGAGTGAGATCCAGGAAAGGCTCAAAGTTACACAGAGAAACCCTGTCTCAAAAAAAACCCCAAAACAACAACAAAAACAAACGACAAACAAAAAAACTGAAATTCCATTATGTACCACATTTGCCGGGCGGTGGTGGCGCACGCCTTTAATCCCAGCACTCGGGAGGCAGAGGCAGGTGGATCTCTCTGAGTTTGAGGCCAGCCTGATCTCCAAAGCGAGTTCTGGGAAAGGCGCAAAGCTACACAGAGAAACCCTGTTTCGAAAAAAAAAAAAAAGAAAGCAAGTCCCACTACTTGTGGGTTTATGTACATATGTACATATTGAATTAATATGGAACAATTTGAAATTGGATTCTGTCATTTGAAGGTGTGAGCTTAGACGATCAAAGTAAAGGAAATAAAAGGAGGCTGGAGCGTTGGTTCAGGGGTTAAGAGCACTTATTGTTCTTGCGGGGGACCCAGGTTCAATTCCCAGCATCCACACAGTGGCTCACAACCATCTGTAATTTCAGTCCCAGGGGATCTGATGTCCTCTTTCTACCTTCTCAGGCACCAGGCACATATGTGATGAACAGACATATAAGCAAGCAAAATACTCATACATATAAAATAACAAATCTAAAAAATATTAAAGAAAATAAAAGAGGTGCTAGAGATTGAAGAGTTTATCTGACATTTTTATTATTAGTAAAAACTCAGGAGTCAAATATCGGGGTAAAAACCTGATTGATCAGAGAAGCAGTGGAGAAGCAACCGGTGACCTCCCCTCTCTCTCCTCTCCCTACCCAAAAGGGCCAACAATCTTTCTAAAGCCCTCCCTACTACTGCCTTTATCTCTCTGGATGTATCCTGGGTCCTCCAAAACCTCTATGGCTAATTCTGTTCATCTAGTCGCTAACTCTGCCCTGATTTAAGGTTAAACTTTATTAACAGTCTCAGAGTGTCACTGTGCAGTCAAACATCCCGCAACAAGAGTTGGCTCAGCAGTTAAGAACACTGGCTGATCTTACAGAGGACCTGAATTCAGTTTCCAGCACCCACATAGAGACTCACAATCATCTGTGACTCCAGCTCCAGGTGATCTGAACCCTGTTCTGGCCTCCTCAGATATTGCACACATGTAGTGCTCATACATACACGCAGACATATAAAAGTATTATCTTCTAAACCGGGCGGTGGTGGCTCACGCCTTTAATCCCAGCACTCGGGAGGCAGAGCCAGGTGGATCTCTGTGAGTTCGAGGCCAGCCTGGGCTACAGAGTGAGTTCCAGGAGAGGCTCCAAAGCTACACAGAGAAACCCTGTCTCGAAAAATCAAAAAAGAAAAAAAACCTTCTATAAAAAAAGAAAAGAAACCTATTTGGGGTGGGAATGGGCTTCACCTGGCAGAGTGCTTGTCAAGCACACACAGAGCCCTATGTTCAATCCCAGCATCACATAAACTCGGTGTGGTGGCACACACCTGTAATCCTAACACTTGGGAGATAGAGGTAGGAGACCTCAGAAGTTTAAGGTCATTTTTAGCTACATAGCAAGTTTGCAGCCATCCTGAGATACATGAGATCCTGTCTCGAAAGAAAGAAAGAAAGAAAGAAAGAAAGAAAGAAAGAAAAGAAAGAAAGAAAGAAAGAAAGAAAGAAAGAAAGAGAAAGAGAGAAAGAAAGAAAGAAAGAAAGAAAGAAAGAAAGAAAGAAAGAAAGAAAGAAAGAAAGAAAGAAAGAAAGAAAGAGAAAGAGAGAAAGAAAAAAGAAAGTCATGCATGGTGGCACACACCTATAATCCTAGCATATTATAACAGAAGGCAGAAGCAGGTGGATCTCTGTGAGTTCGAGGCCAGCCTAATCTACATACTAAGTCCCTGTCTCAAAGAGGGGGGATGAGGAGGGAGGAAGAAGGAGAGGGAGGAAGAGCAGGAGGAGGAGGAGAAGGAGAAAGTGGACCCTGTGTCCAATAACCAACTGTATCAGCACCGGAGACATGAATTAGCAAGCGCCGTGTCTTAACAGGACTTACAAAGCCCAACAAGTGAAAACATGAGTTGCTAACTCCAAGAGGAAAGATCCTGAGTCACTAGCCGCCTTGCCACTGTAAGAAAACAATCAAGGTCAATAACTTATAAAAAGAAGGGGCTTATTTCAGCCCGAAGTCTTGGAGGTTTAGTCCATAACACAGTGCTTTAGACTTGTCAGCAGAACAAAATCCACTTATTTCATGTCCAGGAAACAAGAAACAAAGGCACAAAGATCCCACAATTTCCTTCAAGGGCATCCCCCACAAAAGACCTACTAGGCTCCACCTCTTTGTTTGTTTATTTGTTTATTTTTCGAGACAGAGTTTCTCTGTGTAGCTTTGGAGCCTGTCCTGGAACTCGCTCTGTAGACCAGGCTGGCCTTGAACTCACAGAGATCCACCTGGCTCTGCCTCCGAGTGCTGGGATTAAAGGTGTGCACCACCACCGCCCAGCTTCTAGGTACCACCTCTTAAAGCTGTCACTGCCTCTCCAGTATGGTCAACCTGGTCAGCAAGGCTTTGACACATGGCTTTTTGAGAACAGCTATCCAAATCACAGTAGCTCTGCCAAATGACATGACAGACAAGTACAGGCGGACATTCTGTGTGGTGTCATGAGCCACTGAAGGGTGGATGGATGTCGGTGGTTCTAACTGTCTGCTATCAGCTGTAAGAGCCAGTGATAAGAGAGCAGATTGTTCGATTTATCCATAGATGAAATTTGCCCAGGTACACGCTCTGTAGGCAGAGATGCAAGGACATTAGTTCTAATTATCTGGATAAGACATGAGGGCCTGGAGATCCCGCTTTCATCTTGAGAATGGGCAGACAAGTTCATATGAGGTTTGTTGTTTGAGACAGGGTCTCACTGTATAGCACTGGCTGGCCTTAAACTAAGAGATCTGCCTGCCTCTGTCTCCTGAATGCTGGGACTAAAGGCATGTGTCACATCTGGCTTTGAGCTTTTGTTTTTAATTATTTGCTTGGGCACATGCCCATAGAGGCTAGAAGAGGGCATCAGATTCCCTGGAGATGGAATGACAGGTAGTCATGAGCTGCCTGATGTGGGTGCTGGGAACCTAATGGGCATCCTCTATTGGAGCAGCAAGTGCTCTTAACCACTGAACCATCTCTCCAGCCCACCATGAGGTGATTTTAACGAAGTAAGTGTGCTCCATGAGTTTGCTCAGGTTACATCAGCCACAGAAGCAGATAGTATACGGAAACTGGTCCCAGCTTAGGGGTGTGAGGGAGGCTAGGTGTAGGTAGTAACATCTGTGCTGAGCTTCAAGAGCGGAGTGGGGCATGCATGTTCCAAGGCAAGGCTGGGAGGTAAGGAGCAAAGGAGAGAGAAGACCCGGCGGCAGAACGGTGGAGCAACAGGGAGGGCCGAGCTGCAAGCAAGCCTGGGGACAGCAGCTTGTGAAGAGCTCCATATGCAACCGCTCAAGTGCAGCTCCCAAGGGCCTGCTGGTTTTCCGAACGTTCTCTCTTACCCGCTCCAATAGAATCCTATAGCTTTTAGCCGGATGCATGATCTTTTGGAATAATGACTACACATCCAGACTCAGTAATTCTGTTCCCAAACAAAACTCAAGAGAAATTAAGATGGAGAAGAAAGGAATATTGAGCAATGATTTCCTAAGTACAGAGCTTCTGTTTTGTGTGATGGAAAAGCCCCACAAACCGACAGTAGTATCAGGTCATAATATAATGAATGTAATAAATCATATCATAAATATAGTTATTGAATGAATACTGTGAATGTAATCAATGAATACCACAAATGCAATTAATATCATGAGTGTAATTAATAAATATCATGAGTGTAATTTAAAAAAAAAAAAGAAATAAAAACATGGCAGCCCAAAGATACGTATGAAAATATTCACAGTAGCGTTTTAAAAAACAGCCCAATCTGGAAATGTGTTATCAGCATCAGGATGACCAATTGTAGATTACAGAGCAAGGAAAAGGAGGAAATTACCTCACAAGGAGCACAGACAAACTGACAGGTTAGGTTGAGTGGAAGGATTCCATGCGAATGCTGCAGTTTTCAGAGTTCCAGAAGAGGTAGGTAATCTGTATGACTGACAGACATCAGGGCAGTAGTTACCCAGGGGGTAGTCCTCTTCCTCACAGGCTGCACAGGGACGTCCACAGAGGCCCCGAAGGATCTTGTGCACACACGTACAAATTTATCAAGATGCATCCACCCTGTGTACTTTACCAATGCCAACACGAGCACCCCAGCTGCCCTTTTGTTCTCTCAATCCAGTGTCTTCACAAGCTAGGAGCCAAATTTCAGGACTCAGGAAGTCCAGGGACCCACTAAAGTCTCACTAACATGACCACCTAAACATAAGTCCGACAACAGACATGCCAAAGTGCATGGGGGAAGCCCAAGAGGTCTGAGGCCTACACAAACGACTACAGACAACCAAGGAATTCTGAGAGCAGAAAAAAAAAAAGGGTCTTCCTCAGGGGATGAATGGCCCTCAAGTGGTTATCCAACACCAAGCAGCCATCCCTGAAAACACACATACAAATAATAGTACACACACTGAGCAGTTACAGTTGGGAAGATATGTAACAATTAATGAGAAAAGAGGGCAAGGTGTATAAGGGAAAGTCTGGAGGGAGGAAAGGGAAGGGAGAAATAATATAATCTCAAAATAAATAGAAGTCCAGCTCAGGGGTTTTCCCCCTGTGCCACGCCCCTTTCCACCCCTCCAATAGAGACATGGAAATTGAAAGGCCCAATACCATTTCCCACTGTTGCCATCAGATGTCTTCATATCATCTACTCGGAAGTCCAAGGTTTTCACTTAGAATTGGTATTTCATTTTTCAAGCAGTATACCTACTTTTTTTCTGTCCATACTACCTTCTACTTGTTTCAAATTATTCTTTATGTGACTTAAAAATTGGGTCAACACCATTGGTGTGTCAAAACATTTTCATGAAAATGGTCGTCTCTTTTATAATGGTGCTAAAAATTCTGACAATACCTTCTGAACTTTTTTGTTGTTATTGTTGTTGCTGTTGTTTTTCAAGACAGAGTTTCTCTATGTAACAGCCCTGGCTGTCCTGAAACTCGGTATGTAGACCAGGCTGTCCTCAAACTTGCAGGGATCCGACTGCCTCTGCCTCCCGAGTGCTGAGATTAAAGGCATACACCACCACTGCCTGGCACCTTCTGAACTTTTTATTCTCTTTTTTTTCTAGATGTGACACTAAACTGCACCTTTAAAAACAAAGTACTAGTAGGGGGTCGGGGATATGGGTGTATTCATGTGGAGGTCCAAAGACAACTTTGTGGAGTTGATTCTCTCCTTCCATTTTTGTGTGGATTCTGGGGATTGAACTCAGGCCATTCGGCCTGCATTGCATGGGAAGTACTTTACCCCAGGGACATCTCACTGGCCCTGGCCTGTCTTATCCTTACCATGCTAATTTGGAACATTTTCTTTTTTGTTTGTTTTGGTTTGGTTTGGTTTTTGGTTTTTCTGTGTAGCTTTGGAGCCTTTCCTGGAACTTACTCTCTTACTCTGTAGCCCAGGCTGGCCTCGAACTCAGAGATCCACCTGCCTCTGCCTCCCGAGTGCTGGGATTAAAGGTGTGTGCCACCACTGCCCGGCAGGCACTCTTTCTTGTTCAGAGCTTTTGTTCCTGTCTGTCCTCAAACTGCTCATCCTCTTCCCTCAGCCCCTGAGTTCTGGGACTGCAGGCCTAAGTCACCAGGTCAGACTCTAGGAGGTCTTTAGTCTTAAAATAGTTAATGTATGATGTTCTCTTAGATTTTCTTCTCATTGATGATTAAAAATTTTCACTCAAACCACAAGTTTTAACAGTATTTTTGAAGAAACATATGTGTGAAGCACTATATTCCTTTGGTATTATGATTTGATTTTTGGTGTTATTTGTTTTGTGAGCACTGAACACAGGGCCTTACACATTACACAAGCAGTTTGCCAATAAGAGTTACATTCTCAGTTCTACTTTGACTTTTCCAGAAAACTTTTGCACCCACTGTCCTGTTACAAACAATAAGGTGCTCAAATTCTTGGCTGGGGAAAAAAAACTGAGCTACATTTTTATTCCAGAACTTTGTTTTGTAAAAGACAAATTTTATTTTGTACTGACTTCTTACAGTATTAAACTAAGTTGAGGTCTGGGCTCCATTACTATTTTAACTTCTTCATTGTCCTGAAGATTAACAAGATTCATGCTTATTGTATTTTAAAATACGGAATCAAGGGGCTGGAGAGATGGTTCAGCAGTTAAGACCATTTGCTGTTCTTCTAGGAGACCTGAGTTCAGTTCTCAACACCCTCATCAGATGGTACCTCTTCTAGCCTCCAAGGGCACCTGCACTCACACGTAGCAAATACACACACAATTAAAAAAAAAAAGAAATACTTAATCAAAACTTCATTCAGATTTTTGTCTCTCCTAGGCATCTGTTTCTAGTATTTAAAATCTTTAAAATGAAAATGCAAAAACACTGCACACCTGTTTCAAAAGAACTCACAGTGTGGCTGGTTGTGGTGGCACATGCCTGGTCCCAGCACTCAGGAGGCAGAGGCAAGTGGATCTCTGTGAGTTCGAAGCCAGCCTAGTCTACATAGTGAGCTCTGGAACAGTCAGGGCTACACAAAGAGACCTATTTTAAAAAAATCAAAACCAAAACCCAAAACAAAACAAAACCTTGACATTGTGCTAACACAGCACATTGAGTTAGTGAGTTCCCTGAACCCACCAGTATTTATGTAACCGCATGTAACTTGATGCCAAATTAAATCCAAATGTCCCTTCAATGACACAGGCCTAGTGTCAGGGGTTTCTCAAGACATGGCCACCACAAACGCTGAAGTCAGGACGTGGTTGCATGGAACCTAATCCCAGCGCTCAAGGCACACAGCAAGAAGTCTCTGACTTAGCAAACAGCACTGAAATCAGAGACCCCTCCAAAAGCAAATTCCACAGTGTCCCACCTCACCCCGTCCCTTCACACAGCCTTTGCTCCAGCCCAACAGGATTCCTTATCCTGAAGATCTGGAGCAGTCAGGCTTGGCTCGGTTTCTTCATCTCTCCTATCTCTCCAGTTCCACAGAACCCGGGGAAGAGGCCTTCCCTGAAGGCGCAGTGCCGAGGCCCACACCGAGCCGCCAGACAAATGCAGGAGCTTAGGCATCCTCAGAGGCTGCCCACAACACCCTGGACAGGCAGCATGCTGTGCAGGATTCAACACACCGCTGTCCTGTCGCGCGTATCGCGCAATAGCCGAGGCCTACTGGGTCCCGACATGCCACCACTGGCACTGAAGGCCATCAACATGAAACGCCGAATCGCCTCCTCCGTCTGGCCACAAAGTAAACCGTCCCTAAACTACAGGACCAGAGTCTGTCCGGACTTCCGGCCGAGTCTGCGCAGCTGCACACACCCAGTTCCGGCGTGCCCCACAGCCATCTTCCTGACAACGCCTCCGCTCCCGCTGCATGCCGGGAGTTGTGGTCTTGGCGCCGAATGCGCGGTGAGCGCGCGTGGCAGGAAGCGGAAGCGGCGGGTGGCCCATCCCCGGCCCCGCCTCGCCGCGCCGCTCGCTGCCGGGCTATCACTGACGTGTCTCTCGGCTGAGGAAAGGCGCTCCGGAGCTAGCAGCATCGGCTCACTCGAAGTGGAGCGCACCTGAAGCAGGGCGTGGAGTCGGATCAGCCGCCGCCATGGCGAGTGAGTCCCTTAGGGCCACCCCGGCGTAGCCCGGATGCGTCCCCTTTTCTTGCTTGGCACCCGCCGGCAGTGCTGCCCGATCCCGGCGGAACGCGGCCTGCCCCGATACCCCTTGTCCCCGCGCCCCTAGACCGAACCCTCTAGGTCTCCGCGCCCCCACTCCCGGCTCCCACTCGTGCCGGACTCCCCAGGTGCCCGCAGGTTACTCTATACCTAACTTTCTCTTTCTGTTTCTTCCATCAAAGTCAAATTTCTGGAAGTCATCAAGCCATTCTGTGTCATCCTGCCGGAAATTCAGAAGCCAGAGAGGAAGGTAAGTTCCCCAGATGGTGGTCAAAGAAGCCTCGAGAAACTGGGCGCTGGAAGTTTACAGTACAATTAAAGATGGCCTCAGCACACCGAATGGAAACTACCCCTCTGGAGTGTAGCTGTGTGTGCTGGGAGACTCACGGGAGCTGTCGATAGGTGACTTGGTTGTGTGGGAATTCTCATGAAACCATCTTGTTTCATTTGGAGCGTCTTGAGTAGATGGTAACAAAGCCTCGAGTTTGCCTGATCCAAAACTAGGTCTGAGCAGTGATTGAATAAGACCTCAGGATCCCAGATTGAGTTACCCTCCCTTCTTCACCTCCAGCAGGAGCAGCTCATGGGGTGTTGGTTTCGTCTAGGAGGTGACTTGAGTATCAAGTTTCCAAAGGAAAAAGCCAGTCATGTTCGATATGAACGTGTTTGTATTTCTTTATGTATGCTGCCTCAGCATTGAGGATAACGAAGTCTACTGCCATTGACAGCAGGTGCATTAAAACGAAGAAAGATAGAAGTATAGCACGGTGTGAATCTTAATCAGAAGTTCTATGGCTGTCAGCTTCAGCCCAAGAATAAATACTCCTAATGTGAGATTGCCCAATGAGGAATAGTCTAGACCTATTGGTTACAGAAAACAGTAAAGCTACTTTGTGTCCCTGTTTTTTCAGACTGTGTCATACATTCACATATGGCATCTACAGTTGGCATTCACATGGCTACTTAGTGTCTACTTGCAGTTTTTTACTGAGGATAGTTTCATACAAATGCCTGTAGAACCCTAGCTATGTTTGGCAGGTTGATGTGCAAAGTTTCCCATGCCCCACCTCAGTGCAGAGAATCTGATCTAGGGCCGAGAAGCCCGAGCCCCATCCTTTACCTTCTTTCTTCTGGAGCCTTATGACCTTGGCCTGGCGGAACAAGGGAAATGGGAAATATGTATAAGGTGCAACTGTGGCCCAGGGAGGGAGTAAGTCTGATGAGGGCTTTTGAAAGAGGACTAGAAGTTGCCTTGAGGGTTTGGGAAGGATCCTGGCAAAAGGAGTGTATGGTTTGCTTACACAGTGAAGACAACAGCATTAGTGTGCTTGGATAGTAGGTTCTTAGATGCAGCTCTTACCGATTTTAAAAGCAAAGGCTAAAAGAAACACAGGGAAGATGAGTAAGATGGCTGGGCAGATTAGAAATGACCTTGGCAGTAAGGGAGAGGCCTGGAGTGTGGCTTGGGGGCTCTTGCAGTAGAAGGAGAATCGTGGCACTGGATGAGGATGGGTTTGGGGCTATTTCAGAAGCAGAAGAAGATTCAAGACTCAGATGAAAAGCTTTTGATGGTTTGCTCCTAAATGACCAGGAGAGGAGGCTTACTCATTTAAAACAGTCCTGAAAAATACTTTCCTTTTTTCTAACAGATCCATTACATGGGCTGGGAAAGTGGCTAGTGATGGACGTGAGGCCCTGTGTCTGCTGTCCATCACCACAATATCTAGTAGTTGTGCACATTCATTACAAGCTTGTCTTTCCGGTTCCTGTGAAATGGTGTTGCTTCCCCCTCATTAGGTGCTGCAGTCTTGGTGTGGTAGGATGACAGGTAGAAAGGCAAATGATCTTGAGAGACAGAGGAGGAATGTGAGCCCCTCAGCTGCCTCTGCAGCGTTTGAGCTTTGAATTTGCCCCACCCATGCTTGGGTCCAATATGTGTCTTTCTGGGAGTGACTGCATGCAAAGGACCAGTCAGCGCCCCACGTCAGTGCTTGTTGGGGCTTTTCTTGGCGTTTCATTCACTTAATATCATTAGGCTTTAGCTGTCTGTTAAACCTGTGTAGTAAAGCCAGTCTGGTAGTGGGGTCAGCACTCCTGGTGAAGACCCTAAAGAGCTCTCTATCTAGTGATAGTGGTCTCTTGAACAGGAGGAACCTAGAGGTTTCTTTCTAATCAGGCTAGTAGTAAAGTGATTTGTGTTGACTGTTTAACATACTTAATTTGTTACCTTTCTGATTGTTGTGCCAGCATTTCTGACCAAAGCACTGTAACAAAGGAAGGATTGATTGTGTTTGGGCTTACTGTCCAAGGTACAGTTCATCACTGCAAGGAAGGTATGACAGCAAGAACTTAAGGTCACATTATATCCCCAGTCAGGGACAGGTGAATGCTGGTGTTCAGTCACTTTCTCCTTTTTCTTCAGTCCTGGACTCCAGCGCATTGGTGCTACCCACATTTAAGGTGGATTTTCCCACTCCAATTAACTCAGTCCAGAAACTCCTCCATACTCATATCCAGACGTTTGTTTCCATGGTTCTGAATCCTATGACGTTGACAATCAAGGTTAACCATCACATTAACGCACCCAGGAAGAGGTGAAGATAAACTGGTGTTGCTGAGTTTTAGTGAACAGGTTACATAGCAACTCTTCCTGTCCTCCCCGGTGTTAATTACAGGCTTTCCTCTTGATTCACTTACTGATCGGCCCCAAATTTTTTAAACTAATTGAGTCCAGAATCAGAAGATGGTTAGTGGTGCACTATAGGGAAGTGGTGGCTGGGCCGTGAAGCTTGTCTGTTTTGCAAGTCACTTTGGCTGCAGTGTTCATCCATCTTGAGTCTCAGCTGTTACCGTGAATGGGGAAGAACATACCTTTGGGCTCAGAGTCACTTGAGCTGTAGGATTTGGGACAGATTAAACTTCCCTGGTCACTTTGCTCATTGTCACATAAAGATGAACTAACTGTGCAATGGGAGGATTATCTGAGGTGAAGATCCACAAGGGTTTTTGCATCACATCTTAGACAGAAACAGCACATGACATACACTACTTAATGTTATGGTGTGTTTGGTATACATTTGACCAGCCTCTGATAAATGGGGCATGAGATCTTATTTGAATCCATCTGTATTTATTTGCCTATGAAATAACGTATTGCTTTCATTTATTCCTTTCCAGATTCAGTTTAAGGAGAAAGTGTTGTGGACAGCTATTACCCTCTTCATCTTCTTAGTATGCTGCCAGGTAAGGTCTGCTTTGGTGTTGATAGGGGTGCATAGGCTGGGAGCACGTGTGTGATACCTACCCTCTGCCTATTTCCAGATTCCCCTGTTTGGCATCATGTCTTCAGACTCCGCCGACCCTTTCTATTGGATGCGAGTGATTCTAGCCTCTAACAGAGGTAGGACTCGGCTCACCCTGCCTTTCCCTGCACAGTGGGTGTAAAGAGCCTGGTTTACTTCAGTTACAGGCTTGGCTTTATATGGAGCTCAGAAAGTTCATGAAGGTGCATAGCTTGGAAAATAGAGGATGTTGGTGTGGAAAAGTAATGCAGCATTTGCTGATAAATGCATCCTGTTGGGTCTGAATGCAATATAGAACCTGTAATAACAAGATAAGGCTGCATTGTAGAAAATTGTTTAAAACATGGAAAACTAGAATACTTTTAAATACCTAGAGTGATAACATTCTTTAGAAGGTGTAATTTGTTTCTTAGCTGAATCTTTTTCATATCTATATGTTACAGGGCGTCAAAAAAAAATGGTTTTGTAAGCCCTGACCAAATACACATGTGCACAGTGAGGATTTTGAATATCTATGTTGATACTGCATTTGATTAACTCATTTAAAAAATATAGTGCACATTAAATTGGAAATCAGAAGTCTGACTGGTTTTAGTATAATGGAAGGTGGGAATTTATTCACAGCCATATACAGTTGTAGCAGCCCCTTTCCAGACTCTGGGAATGCTTTGAATCTTATCCTTTCTTACTAGCTGATGGGGAGACCAGCCTCTCTTATCTTCATGAGGCTAGGGTCAATCTGTTGCTGAATTAAAATGCAGCAGTCTGGATAACATGTGACTTCCTGAACAGAATAAGATGCTGTCTGGCGGGATAGAATGCATTAAGCTGTGCTCTGATCATTGGTATTTGGGGGTGGTTCTGTAAGTTGAATGCTGCTAGCAAACTGAATGCTTTTGAGTTTGTATAGGAGTACCCCCAGTGTTGCTCATTGTAGTTAACTATGTTTGTTCTCCTGAGCTGATGTTGGCTGTGTCTTGCCTCCTTTCCCCAAGGTACCTTGATGGAGCTGGGCATCTCTCCTATTGTCACCTCTGGCCTTATCATGCAGCTCTTAGCTGGTGCCAAGATCATTGAAGTTGGGGACACCCCAAAAGACCGAGCTCTCTTCAATGGAGCCCAAAAGTGTAAGAAAGATCGTACATAATGTTCTGATGTCCATAGTTGAGAATGGGAATTTGCTGTAAAGCTTCTTGGATTAAAGCAGTTGTGCTCTGTGCCCTGAACTGCTTGGCTGCCCCTCTGCGTGCACTCCATGACGCACACACCAGGGAGAGGCAGGGCTCATCCCTTCCTTTATTGTGCACAGTTTGCACTCATACATCAGTGCCTCCTTGAACATAGCTCAGGG